GAGGAGAAAAAAGGGGAGAGAAAAACACCGGAGGAGGCAGAGAGGCCGGGTCACGTGACGGCCGATGTACAGTAAACATGAAGAGAAGCTCGTGGCCGCGCTGCGGTCCGCACACGGACCGGTCGCACACAGCTCCGGTCGATGCGGAGAAGCGACCTTCACTTTCGCACGCCGCCTTAAGCTCCCAGCTTCCATTTTGTGGGCACGTTGAGGGGCCATATGTGTGTCTTTGTTATGGTTTGGTGGGATGTTGAGGAAGCTGCGACTCTGACCACCTGTTATTGAAAAGTCGGTTCAAATCGACGACGCTGAGTCGGCGCATAAAAACTCTTTAGTTGTTGTGAAAAAAATAAATACATTTATTTTAAAAAGTCAAGTTGACTGAATCAGGATGTGAATTTATAGGTGATTAATTTTTATTTTCCGCTCGCAGCAGCAAAGAATCCATTTCTATTTTACTGTCACTCTCTATTGTTCCTAGATCTATTGTTCACAATGGGGAAATAAACATTATAGTTAAAAAAGGGAGAAAGTAAAGATAAGGTGTTTGGGTTGATGTTGGGAAAAACATCACTGGAGACAAACAAAGAATCTGAATTTAAAAGAAAAATGACAAAAAACTAAAAAGGGGAAAAAAAGAAGAGAAGCTAAAAACAGCTAGCATCAGCATTTCTGCCGTGCCAGGAGAGTTCCCTTGACTTCCATTGTGGAGACGTTTGACTGGAGTGTCTGTTGAACAACAAAGAGGGGTGACTGAGAGGGTCCATTAATTACATGCTTGCTTTGCATCAGAGAAATGAGTCTATGAGCTGTGGAAGGGTCCGGAATGATGAGCTGTGGCTCTGACCTTGGACGGAAGAAACGCAGATACTAGCTTTGATGGGTAAAAAAAAAAAAAAAAAAGAAAAAAAAAAATCTAATTTCAGCAAATAAGTTGGATTTTTTTTTTCTTTTTTACATTATGTACAAGGCTGTAGTACGGAGGTCGAAAAGAAAAACAAACATATAATCAAGTCTGACGTTTAACGTCAACGTAAGCAGTTTTCTGCTGGTTTATAACGTGATGATAAAGACGCCGTGAGCCCACCTCGGGGGTCTCCCCGTCCTCGGGTGTCATGACAGACCCTTCAGACTGAGGAGAGCACTTTGGCTGATTTCCTAATGGCCCGTTTCTTGGCGGTCCTTCAGTCGGTCGAGGGCCGTATTATCTGACCCTCTCCTCAGCGCGGCGGCCGACCACGTGTCACGTCGTCAGTCCAAAAGAGCACCGAGCTCAATAAGCCATTATTGTGCGTGACGCTGCGGACGCCCCGGCCCTCGCCGCTGTTCTAACAGCTGCACTATTTCACAGATGATAGACTATTGATCGGGTCAAAACTTTGAATTTCATTAAAAACAAGTCAATAGCCAATTTCCACCGGTTGCTGCACAGAGCGCTCAGGAATGACTTTTTCCCCTCTGCAGATATTTTCTCCCAGGAAATGGGAAGGAAAAAGGAGCACGGCCACGTTTCTGTCCTGTCGCTCTGATTCAACCTGTAGATAAAACCAGTGGAAGATGGAGTTCCACACGGTCACAGCACAGGAATGTGCTCTGTTTTCCGTTCTTTGTTGATGTGTTTGGCTGCCAGCAAACCTTTTAGCTGCTTTTGGCACCGAGCCGCTCCAGAGAGAGAGAGAGAGAGAGAGGGGGGGGGGGGGGGGGGGGTGAAGACGCCAGCAGAGATGTATCACCTCACTGGAACATGCTCTGTACACTGGGGGTATTTGAATTACTTGGGATCTGTTGGCAAAAATCTGGCGATACGAAGTCTCAGACAATACTAGGGCAATGATATTGTGATATATCACGATACTCCAAGTGTGATCCTGATCCTATGGGGCAATGATATTGTGATATATCGCGATACTCCAAGTGTGATCCTGATCCTAGTCTCAGACTCTGTTCCATCTGAACATCAGTTCCTAACTCTGGAACAGAGGGATCTACATTTGGAATCACTAGAGAAGAAAGAAAAGACTGGGAGTTCGTGATTGGACAAATCGCAATATTTCAATGTGGACAGATCGCAATATTTCAATGTATCGATATTTTCTTACACCCCTGTAAATTACCCATGTTTTTGTTTTGGATAAAAATACTTTTTTGGTCTAAATTGAAACTCCTCACAAATACTAAAAAAAACATCTCTCAGCAAAAGTCCAGCAGTTGTTGTTGATATAAAGTATGTGATGTAACACGTCTGATGTGCTACAAAAAAAAAAAACAAAAACCAACCCACAATCCTCAAGTTAAAATCAATTAAAAGAGGAGAATCCCAGTTTAGCCGTGAGGAGTTAATTGTAACCCAAATGGTCACAGAGCGTTCACTGAGTTAACGTTTACGGCCTCCGCGGCACAGAACCCACTCTGGGGGTCTCATAAATGTGACCACTTTATTTAATATGCATCTTCTCACACAGGAGGCGCCGTTGATGAGCTATTATCTCGCCCTCGCGCTTGCTGTGAAATTACAAACTTTCCTAATGCGGCTGATTGCATCGCAGCGTCACAGTGTGCGTACGACTCGCCCGCGTGCGGTGGTGAAAAATGACGCCGTTTCCTCTGGCGCCGGCGCCCGCATTCTTTCACCATTTCACAAAGGGCAATCATCCGACGTGATTATGGTGTAATCACCAGTGTGTGTCACCGTGTCCTTATCCGTCAAACTCTGTGGCCAACTGTCTTCTGTCTCCTGTGTCTCTCACCCAGGCTACATCCAGGACTACATCACGCCGTCCGTATACGAGGCGGAGAAAAAGATGGAACACAAGTTGGCCTCGCCGGTGTCCGACCCCCTCTACACCCAGGTGAGCAGCGGAGGGGAGTACTGCGACCCGGACCTGAAGCACCCCGACAGCCCCCAGTCGGGCATGACGGCCAGAGGCTACTACAGCGGTGAATCGGACGCACTGGCAGAAGGTTACACCATGGATGCCTTCTTCATCTCCGACGGGCGCTCGAGGCGGAAGGGAGACTGCGAGAGCGGGGGCGAGGGTTCCAGAAGCAGCAGCGCCAACGCGGGGGCTCAGGAGAGGGTCGCGGGCGGCGCTCGCCACACCTGCAACGAGTGCGGCAAGACGTACGCCACCTCCTCCAACCTCAGCAGACACAAGCAGACGCACCGAAGCCTGGACAGCAAGATGGCCCGCAAGTGTCCCACCTGTAACAAAGTCTACGTGTCCATGCCGGCGCTGGCCATGCACATCCTCACCCACGACCTCAAGCACAAATGTGACGTGTGCAGCAAGGCGTTCAGCCGGCCGTGGCTCCTTCAAGGTCACATGCGCTCGCACACGGGGGAAAAACCCTTCGCCTGTGCCCACTGCGGCAAGGCCTTCGCTGACCGTTCAAATCTTCGCGCCCACATGCAAACACACTCTGCCTTCAAGCACTACAGATGCAAGCGCTGCAATAAGACCTTCGCTCTCAAGTCCTACCTGAACAAGCACTATGAGTCAGCGTGCTTCAAAGGCTCTGCAGATGAAAATGACTCTGGATCAGAAGACTAAGGATGAAGGAGAAAACCCCCCGATGCCGTAGGTACACCTCCAGTAACCCCCCTGCC